TAATGAAAGAACTGAACTTAAAAGGAAGCTTAATACCAATTATTTACAGTTTAAAAGAATAACTTCAGGGCATGCAAGCTATAAATCTAGGCAGCTTCCTGGAGGAAGAGGAAGATAGACAATGAAGTCTTTTGTAATTAGTCATATGAGAGAAAGAAGGTGGTCTAACTTTATTGATAAATGTTGAGAAATACCAGAGTGTCCAGGAAACCATGGCTATGCTTTGAACGAAGGAAAGGGAGACAGTAAAACAAACAAACAAAAACCCTATAAGTTATTTTTTTTTCTGAGTAACTCAGAAAAGCAGACAAGTTTATCACAGCTTCATGGTTTTAGCTCCATGAGTAATTAAACGGAGAGTGGGGTTACTGGGAAGGAAAAGCATCTTTCCGTCAGGAAATTATTATTTTGCTCATCTACTCAGCATGGCTTTCCTGAGTAGTGTTCTTTTGCCCAGATAGCTGGCCAACCCAATTGGAATGTGAGGTCTCAGAGGGAAATTCTTGCCATGTCTGTTTAATGTTGGTGGTATGTAATTGAATGATGAGCTTACCCCCTGGTATCGTATATCCACATTTTAAAAATAATATTGGTAGAAATTTCAGGTTGATTTAATAATTGATATTGGACATATTGATTTCTGTTGAATTTTCAAAGTTGTTGTAAACATCTGGGATGATGTAGTTACTACAATTATAAGAATGAACATACAATAAAAAAAAATTGTTTCTGTTATATAAACATCTCAGTCTTTGAAATTAAGTTTAAAATTAAGATTCTCTTCTTGGTAAACTAAAAATGTTAATAAAAATAAATAATCAAATACTGTTTAATTGATAAAGTAAAATTATTGTTACTTTATGAAGATATATATCTAAATATGGTGAATATTTTCATACTATTTCAATGTATATAACTACTTTGTTGTGCTGTACAATATTATTATGCTCTTTTGTTTTTCAAAAAATGGCACTACAGTCCAATAATATAAAACTTATTTTAATTTTTAACATTGTTGGTAATGGATGAATAACATACATTTATAAAGTTGAACCATAAATCAATCATCCTTCATTTTTTTGATCATTCAAGTGGCTTATGTCTTTTGAAACTAATCATGTCAGTGTCTCTTACAATCAAGTTTCTATTGCTCTCACTCTACTACTGTAGATCTTATACGGATTTTTGTTAGCAAATTTTCAAAGCCTCCTATTGTAAGTAGAAGTTAATCACAGCCATCTTGTGCCAATTCAATTTGATAAGCATTCATAAGCACTTACAATGCAGGAGACACTTCTTACCCAGCACTTAAGGAAATGAACTCAATAGTTGGAAAATCAGTTTTATACAGAACACACACTGATTGCCAAGACTTTTATATTAGAATTAAAATGAGGTTTTATCCACAAAGAGAACCTTGAGTTAATAGAATCTAAAGAATGAGAGGCCTTGGGGAAAGATATTGTTCAAATCTGATATGCCATTAAGAGATTAGATGCTTTAAAAGCTGCCATGAGAAAAGTCCAAGTGATACACATTCATGATAGTAATAAGAAACGGAATTTGAAAAAATAAAAAAGACTTCTACAGTATCGCTCAGCATAATGCCATTGATTAAATAATGACTAGAAGGAAATGGCACCTTGAAGTCTGATAACTTACACTAGAATACCATCTCTGAAAAAATGTATTTGCTAACATTCTAATAGATCACTCGGCACTGCATGGTGTGTTTCAAAAATGCTACATTGATTTAAGAAATAGAGACACTGATTCTTTGATGCTATTACTTCTCCTTTAGGCTATTACTACTTTATAAGATTTTTTTTAAAAAGCATTCTTACCTTTTTAAAAAGCCCCTGAAACAGTTTTTGATGAAGAGAACTCTCCTAAATTCAATGCAAGGCTCAAAATTTTGATAAGAGTAATAGCGGATAATACAATAACAGTGAAATATGAAACGATTCACAGATATATTGAAGAAAACAAGTAATGGGTTTACTTACAAAAGAGAAAACACTTAAAATTGTTTTTACTAATACGCTAAATGGATACTTTATTTCATACTGTCTAGTTCTATCGTAAAAGATGTTACTGGAATCATGTCATAGAAGATAAGTGCTGGAGAAAGCTGTAAATATCATTTAAGAAGAAATACATCTGAAAAGAACTACAAAAGGACACATCTAGAAAGGAGAATTATATTTTACTCAACTACAAATAAAAATCCTCAAATTTAGCTTTTTATTTTCAAATTAAATAATTAGTTCAATAATTTTGCTGTTGTTAAATTATAGAATATGGAGCTAAAATTTTTAAATTCCTTAGGTTCTTATTTTAGGATCTAGAACTTTGCCAAAACCTAACAACTGAGAATATAGCTGGCTGCCCTGTTGAAATCACAGTTCAACATTGGTAGTGACAGAGAATCAATATTAAAGTACAGGGAATAAAATTTTCTTCTTTAAAAAGAAAAGAAAGGAAGGAAAGAAAGAAGGAAGGGAGGAAGGAAGAAAAGAAGAAAGGAAGGGAGGAAAGAAGGAAGAAAAACAAAGTCCTACAGTCCAGAGATTTTTTGGTGACAATTCAATTAGTGGAGATTTAATAGAATTCTATTAATGGAAAAGATGATTGTGTATGTTTACTCTGGGCCTCAATTTATAATGGGCCTTAGGAACATTAAATTAGAATACTCATTCCATGAGAAAAATCTATATTCATTGGCATTTTCTGGAGGATAAACAAAGCCCATGTCATAATAAGACAAAGTTCTGTGTCTGTGTGTGTGTGTGTGTGTGTCTGTCTGTCTGTCTGTCTGTATGTATGTCTATGTGTGTGTATAGAAGAGAAGGGTGATATATTAGATATAGATAGATGATAGATAGATCAATAGATTGATTGATAGATGATAGATAGATAGATAGATAGATAGATAGATAGATAGATAGAAGTTTTACAGCTGGGCTTTTCTTTTCCCAAGCAAAATGAACTACCGTGTTTGCAATGGCTACATCATTTGCATGGCCTGAGGGACTTGGACTGGACTAGCAATTTTGAAGGAATGAAAAAAACACATACAAAGACACAAAGACAGTAAATCTGGGGATGGGATGAATTTGTATCTCTGTTGGTGAACTCACAGTACCACATTAGCTCAGAGTGCTTATTATATAGAATTGAATAGGAAAGTGGGGTTATTCTATGCAGATGAACAATAAGGGGAGCTATGACATATAAATAAACAATAGGCAGGGTCTATAGAGTATAGCTGAATCAAGGAGGCTGATCAACAATCTCTGTAGGGAAGAAATCTTCAGGCTGAGAACATCCAGAGGAAGAAAATTATGATGGACATTTTCTATAAACACTACCAAGAACAAACAGCACACGGACCAGAAGGAAAAATGTCACTTCACTCTGAACATTTCTGCCACTTCACTCTGTACTTGGTTCATGTACTTGGATAGAGGAGGAAGGTCTTACAATTTCTTCAGGGGTTTGATGTTTACTAAAGATTTTATTTAAAGTAATAAAATTTTCTATCTTAATTTGGCTAGTTAGAACCTTAAATATGCTTCACTTTTGTGAACTAGAAATGGCCAAGACTAATGATTTCTAAAATTGAGCAGTACATTGCCAATTCCCCTTATATTCTGATTTTATACCAGAAACAATTTAATGTATCTTGTAATTTATAGTAATCTTTGTCAGTAATTTAGAAACATTGATGTAAAATCATTGTGACAAAGCATTACAGTTTAACATTCATTACAAGGTTCAACTAAAGTCTAAATTAATACCATAAGAACTCTTTCTAAGGAAATAGACTGTTACTAATGGGAAAACTGAAAAATGTTTATGTTATTGAAATAATACTAAAGAATATAATGCAGAAATAAAGAATTGGGAGGGTTATATAATGTCTACATTTGCCTATAAAGTTCATTAGGAAACATAATCAGAAGCCCTGTGAGCCTAATTCTGTGTGCATCCTTCAAAAAGTTGATGTTATATAATATTTATAGATTAAACTAAAGTCTATGACAAATATTAGTTCAACAGAGTGAATATTTTTTGATATATATATATACACATATATTTCTTGATTTATATAAGTGATTTAAAAATTTAATTTAATAAATATTTGTTGCATAGATCTTTTCTATAGAAGGCTACAGTAAATATGCTACAGAATTTATTGAAATTTTATTCAATGACATCATAAAAATATAGATGTCATTGCTTTTCTGTAATCCTACTCTCAAAGTATGACTCGTCTTGATTTCAAAACCTCAAGAACCATTGCAAAAAATATCATTTAACAATTTTGTAACTATGCATTATCTCAATGAGTTATCAGAGTTACATATAATCACTGAGATTTAACTTCATACATGTGAATATTTGTTTCTCTTCAAGTGTGTTTGAGTTATCTCTGGCATTCAACTTAGAAAACAATTTCCTTTACTATAGATAAAAAATTTTCAACATAATAATTTCAAAAAAAAATCTTGATATGGGGAAAGTGTCTGGTATTTGAGAGAAGAGCTATTTAAAATATCACTTCAATAAAGATCATTTGCTTTAGGTTTTATGGCATTAACTTCTAGTACAGAGCACAATCAAATAAAAGAGATTTTATTTTATAACCAAAATCCATATATGTATTGAATTTGTTTGAAGCTTAGGGGCTTTAAAAAGTCTCTAATGCATCATCTAAATTAAGCAAAGATACTTAGAAGGTAACAATCAATAAGAAAAGATTGAAGGCTGCAGTTTCAATATACCTAAAGCTCAGATGCAACTTTTACTGTAATATAATTAGATGGTTGGGCATCTTTACAAGTAAATGTGAAAGAAAATATTTTTGTTAGAAACATGTTTTGATTGATGGTGTTTTCCTTTGATGAAGAGAATGTATTGAAAAAGCCCTGCAATGACATACCTTTAAAGTTCCTCAAGACTTAGATACTACTAATTATTTCCATATGTTTTAATAGAGGCTCAAGGAACTGAAACAGAGAGAATTTGCTCGAAATGTAGCATCTAAATCCAGGAAGGATGAGAGAAAACAGGAAAAGGCACTCCAACGTCTTCACAAGCTGGCTGAGCTAAGAAAGGAAACTGGGTGGTGAGTCTATAATGAAATGTTAACTCTCCTTAAAATATACCTAAAATATAGCTGCAGGACTTAGAAATAAAGGACATGAATCTATTTATTTCAGTATATAGAAAAAAGCATGCATGTTTGCATGGCCTTCTGCAGAAGTAAAGAGTAATTTCAATTTCATTCAAACACCAGATTAATAAAATTTCAATAAAACTCATAAATTACTGTAATCTTGGCTTACAAAAGTAAATTTTGCATCTGTATAGGCTTGTATCTAAGCCATCTTAATTGAAACCTGTCCCATCTCTTCATGAAGTTCAAACCATTCCACTGAGGATGAGAGCATAGCACTATCTCCTGACTCTTGGCAGAAAGAGTTTTTGAGAAGATCTTACTTTATTTTTAAATGATAATTTGGAGAACCTTTCATTGAAATTACTTTTAAATTTGAAAAAAGAGAGGTCAGGAAGATATTGCACACTTCAGAAGCAGCTCAAAATTAGTTTCCCTGTGAATAAACTATAACTGGACTCTTAGAAGTTCTCAGCTCTTAAACTTTGACCTGCTTCTCAGAGTGAACAGCTGTTAGATGTGAACACAGTCATAATTCAGACCTCACAAGTCAGCTAAGGCAATGCTATTAAAAGAAGATCACTTATAAAGTGCCCTTCTTTCTCTTATCAAATGAAGTCTCTCTTATTACTGTCTATAGCAAAGATTTCATGCTATATTAATTTGTTATGAAATATTGTTATGGAATATTTCGACTAATAAAACATTTTTAGAAATTCCAATTTTAAAATGTAAAACAATACGATTGAATTTTTCTTTTTAAAATCCTGTGTGGAACTGTCAGAAGAAATTGCTGCTCAACTATTTTAATGATATCTGTTTTATGTTGTCACATTGGATGCAGAATGATGCAAATTAAGGCTACATAGACTCATGGGACCTACTTACTGTATAATACAATGATCTAGAAATAGAATTTGACATATAGTTTCTGATATATTTAGAAAGCTGTATTTATAACTTACAAACAATGACTATATTACTTACATTCATTAAAACTTTCAATAGATAATGTTTTTCATCATACACACACAAACACACACACAAACTTTCTCATTAGTTTTGTGCATAAGAAAATAGCAATGTCAGGTGAGCAGAGTACATTGTGTTAATGATTTTTAAAATCTGCTATAACTTTTAGCATTGAATATTCCTTAAAAACAAATGCTTAGTATGTATGGAATGGAATTTCTCTTAAGGTTATTGAATGTATAAAGGTAAGGTATAGAGATATTCTATATTATATAAAGACAATATAGTTCTTTGAGCTCAAAACCCATTATATATAATATACTGTCAAATACTGATGGAATTAATATTTTAGAGAAACAGTATTATATCCCATGGGACTACATATTATAACATAACTTACAACTTTAAAGTACTTTTGAATTTTGAGCCTAGCACTTCCAAAAGGCCAATAGCTATTTTCTTGCTGGTTTAACTTACAACATAGTGTTCGCACAATGGCAGACTTGTTAAAATTTGGCTAAAGTTAATCATCAAACCAAATTCCCGGACTTTCTAAAATATTTATTAAGGTGCTGTTTGTTTGTTTTCTTCTATTTCTTTGGTATCTGTTTTATAAGATCAAAGGTTAAAATTATTGTATTTCGGTAGAGAGGAAAGAAAAGGAGAGAGGAGAAACTTTGGATTGGTATGTAAAATAAAAAATAATTTTTTAAATAAAACATAATTTTATTGTAGAGAATTTTGTAACATTCCATGAAGAGACCATTGGGATAGAAAAAGTTTATTGGGAAGCAAAGAATATCCTGTAAATGGTTGACACCTGTATAGAGCATTTCCTGACATAACTCTAGGTTACCCCAACAATGACCAGCAGCAAAATGATGTTAAAACACTGGTAACAGTAACTGAACCCTATGAAATAACTTTATAACACACATTTAAATTATAATCATAAATTCATGACAGATGCTGAATTTGAAAACAAATAGGCCCATCAATAATCAGACTTGAACTGCAGGAGAAACTTTGAGGATGCCCATACTCATTGCTGAACTGTTTGTTACTGACAGACTCTGGAACAAGGCAAATTGTTGCCTTCCTCTGTGTAGCCTTTTGTCCCCTCCAGTATCTCATGAACACCTCAAAGCCAATGGGTACACAAATCATCTTGGTTACAATAAGCAGAGCATGAAAAGAAACCAAAAAGCCAGGAACTGGGGAGAGGGACTTTCAGTTATTGTGATATACTCAGTTTTGATGTGGACAGGAAGGGCATTAAAGAACATAACATAGAGAAATGAATCAGAATACATTACCTAAATATATACATATCAAACAACAGCATTAACCAATAAAAGTTAAAAAGGATTTTCAAAAGAAATGTAATTATATCTCAAAAAATTAGTTATTGAATAGTTTTCTACTAAATTCTCCTATTAACTTATACATCTCCCAATTTTACAGTGCTCCTGGAAGTGGCCCCATGTTCAAGTCAACAACTGTTACTGTAAGAGAAAATCTCAATGAACTTTCCCAAATACAGACTGTAGATTCAGTTAATAATCAGCAAGATTTGATTCATAGCGAAGAGAAAGCAAAAGATGTCACTACAGCTTCTGCAGAAATGGAAAGTGCAAGTAACTGCACAGCAAATAATTGCCAGCTTGGGGATCAGGCTCAGGGTATCCACAGACATAAAATTGGCTTTTCCTTTGCATTTCCAAAGAAAGCCTCTGTGAAGCTGGAGTCTTCAGCAGCAGCCTTCTCTGAATACAGTGATGAGTCCTCTGTGGAGAAAGAACTCGGCAGGAAAACGAGATTTGTCCCCAGCACTTGTCATCTTCAGCTATCATCACCAACATGTGAGCTTCTCAGTTCCGAAGAGCAAGCTAACTCCTTTCATCCTCAAGAGACCATGTGTACTGACAAAACAACTGCTCAAATTGAAGAGATGAAAAAAGTCCCTAATGAAAAAAATACATTGTTGACCTCTTTTTGCCAACGTCAAATCCCGGTATGTTCTGATGCAGATACATGCCAAAATTCAGCATCATTTGAAGATCAAATAGCAATGGTAGATGCGATTGATAATGAAGATGTACCTGTGAATAAAATCAGCACTGACTTCATAGAAAAGAATCCCACTGTACCTAATGACTACACACTAGCACAAACGACCACAGAGGAAAATGCTAAGATGAGTGATGAGGCCAAAATGGAAACCGGAAATAAAATTAGTCATGAGCCATTGGCACCTTCAAATACCACAGAGGAAAACATAAAGTTGCAAAACAGACAAGATTTATGTAAAAGACAATGTGACCCATTTGTACCTGTACTTAACAAACTTGGATCTACAGTGCTTCAGTGGCCATCAGAAATGCTTATTTATACAACTACAGAGCCATCAATATCTTATAGCTGTAATCCACTCTGTTTTGACTTCAAGGCCACTAAATTAAACAACAATCAAGATAAAAATAAACCGACCTTAAATGACCTTAATTCTCAACAGAAGGAGGACTTTTGCAAGAGGCCAGATGCTGATTGCAAAAGTGCACCAATTGAAGGTGTCACAGATGATGAAATTAGCAGTAACAAAAGTAATCACACTAAAATTATTGTTCTTCATCCTGCTCACATTCTGTCTAGTAGTTATGATTTAGAACACAATAAGGATGTGTATGAGAAGTATAAGGATAATTCCTGTATAAACAGAAAAACAAACAGATACAACTGTACTAGAAATCAAATTAAACGAGATAGTCTAAATGAGAAATATAACAAAGTCAGGTTGAAGGAGACTCGTGAACACTGGTTCCATAAAAGTAATAGGAAGAAAAAAAGAAGAAAGTTATGTCACCATCATCATGGAGAGACAACCAAAGAAGCTGAAAGTTACTGCAAAGCAGAAATAGACAGGCAGTATGCTGATGAGATAAGGAAGGGCCCACAGGAACTACTTCCTGAAAGACAGCGAAGGAGGCCAAAGCCATGGTCAGATGTACTTCAGCTACATGATGAAAAACCCAATGCAGCATCTACAAATTTAAGTGAAAATGAAGAAATGAGTACAACATGGAATCCTGAGTCTAACAATGATGATATCAGTTCTCAAAATCATAAAGGAAAAAACACAATAGTTGTAAATGGACAAGCAAATCCACCCATGATACATACTGTGAAACAAAATCTAACATATTCCAGAACTTACTGCTGTTGGAAAGCCAGAACATCAAGCTGTCAAGGGGATGTCAAGTGCTTAGTTTCTCAGAATGATGTGAAAGTTCCCAGTCAGAATCAGCCTATGAAAAGAGGATACAATTCTCTCATGAGTGAAGCAGAAGGATTCCATCGGAAACGCAGACAACATTCATGTTCTTATTCATCAGGTGAAAGTTTAAATCAACAGAATCATTTAGCAGAAGAATATTTGAGGCCACCAAGTGCTTCATTCACTCCCTGTCAGCCGAAGAAGAAACGAAGGAGAAAAAGAAGTAGATTTCACATTGGGGGTAGAGCTTTGAAAAGCAAGGACAATTCAGATTATTCCATGAAGAGCAGTTCTTTGAGTCCTCTGAATGTCTTTGTAAAGGAAGACAGAAAAGCAGAAAAAAAAACAAAAGAAAATATAAGAATTGACAAGAACTCAGAGCAAACAGAAAACAAAGCGATGTCACATCCTTACAATCCACTTCCTTCTGAAACCAATAGCAAAGGTGAGCATTCTATAGCAGAGATTACTCCATCACATGCATCACAGGCTTCCAATGATCTCACTACATCTGTGCATGTAGCAAGAACCCCACCAAATGACTCAAATGACAATATCTTGCTTGGACACAATCAAAGAAACCTGTCTACAAACAGTAACGAAAAGCAAATTCCTTTCAAGGTGCCTAATACTGAAAGGAACTTTAGAAATTCACAGACTAAATCATACATTTGCCGTTACGAACTGGCTGAAACCATTCCACAGAGAAAGATGAACGAACCATCAACAGAGTGGCTCTGCTACAATTCTGGAATCCTTAGCACACAACCGCCATTACAGTTCAAGGAAGCACATGTCAGTGGGCATGCCTTTGTAACAACAGAGCAAATCCTGGCTCCATTAGCCTTACCAGAGCAAGCACTATTGATTCCACTAGAAAACCATGATAAGTTAAAACATCTACCATGCGAGGTCTACCAGCACATCATTCAGCCAAATGTTCTGGCCAACAAGGTCAAATTCACCTTTCCTCCTTCTCCCCTGCCTCCTCCTAGCACTGCTGTGCAACATTTGCCTTTGCAGCGGCCCTTTTGTTCTACCTCTGTTACCACTATCCATCACACTGTTTTGCAGCATCATGCTGCAGCTGCTGCAGCTGCAGCAGCAGCCGCAGCTGCAGGAACCTTCAAAGTGCTTCAGCCACACCAACAGCTTCTTCCCCAAGTCCCATCTCTCACCAGAACATCTATACCTCAGATCTCGGTAGGAGCTATAGGACCCAGGCTTTGTCCTGGCAGTCAGCCAGCTTTGGTTGCTTCTCCTCAGATGCCAATCATCCCTGCATCAGTTCTTCGCCCCAGCCACTTGGCTTTCCCACCTTTACCCCATGCACTTTTTCCTTCATTGCTTTCACCACATCCAACTGTCATTCCTCTGCAGCCCCTCTTCTAGTCACCACCATACAGAGAAAAGAACATATATAAATATAAATATATATATATATATATATATGAGTAGGTGTTTACGTGCATAATTGGCTACTTAAATGACAGAATAAACTGGCCCAACTTGGCCTTATTGATTTCAAATCATTTACTGTAAGTGTAAAGATGCTAATAAATTATTAAAATTTCTGATATATGATATTATTAAAGCACTGAATAGTTTGAGAATCAAAACAATATATGCTGTATATTAAAATGATGTCTTAAAGTATGCATAATGTACATAAAATATATTTATAGTACTGTAATTTATGTTGTAAAGTATGCTTCTTGTTTTTCTAATCTTTGTGTATTTGCACCTATTTAACGTTTAGACAAAGCTGATGACCCTATTTGTTTTGTATCATGTTCCTTGAATCTGTAAATTCAGTAAACTATATATCTTGCAATAAATTTTTGTTAATTATTTAAGCAAATCAAACTTTGGTGTTTAGGTGGTCTCTGATTTAGTAGTGGTGACAATAGTGTATGTTCTATTTATGATTTTCTTTTGCCCCATGGTATCATGGAATCACCAAGACCCAAGTTTCTTCAAAGTTTTACCACACTTAAATGTCATCAATCACAGCAAATATAACATACAATATATTTGTTTCCATCTCCATTTCTTATAACATAGTTTATCTTGATAATTTACTGCAATTGTTAGCTATGGATTTAGACAATATCCATGGAAATTTATATTTAAGCAAGTTTAGGATTCGAAAGGGCAAAAGTCTAAAAATCATGAGGAATGCATATTATTTCCCTATAGGCATAATAAAACAGAAATGTCAACTAACTAATATAATTGTGCTCATAAAATTTTTGAATATTAAAATTCTTAAATTTATTATGTTCATTTATAAGTCACACAGGAAATATATTCAAAAGTACTGACATAAATTAAAATAACTTTAATTTTATTAAGTCACTATTATATGAAAACTTGAGATTAACTGCAAAAGCTTTGTCTGACCCTTAATATACTCTTGAGAGTAAAGATATGGAATAAAATTAAAATTAACAGCTGTTCCTTCAGTGATTCTATATGCTCACATTTGTAACATCTCTCCAAATCAGGTAGAAATAATAGTACACATTTTCTAATTACTGTTCTGGACTTCTTTATTTGTAATTAGCTCAGTATTATAGTTTCTCCAACTTTTGGTAGATAATACATAATGCTGATATTTTATGGAGAACCTTGGAAGAACATAATTTACCCAAGCAAATTCCTGAGTTGTGACTGTTCCAGTGAATGCCGTCTTATAAAACGTCTTCAGACCAGTCAACATGGGTTAACTTCATCTGGTGCAAAAGTTGGAAGAGTCTTGTCATATCAAGGAAGAAAATAGACTTTAGTCTTCATGTGATGCTGTTCAGAGAAAGTATTATTTATGTGGCCTATATGGCCCTAAAAGGCAAGACATAAGGCATCTCTCATATCATAGAACTCAATACAGAGTCTTATTTTAAATAAAAGTCAAGAGAAAAAGAAAGAAAAATTATTTTCATTATTATATACTATAATACGTATTGATCTGAATGCTCTCCTTAAAAATTCTTATGATGTAGTAAACATCCCAAGTTATGACTGACAAATAAGTAGGTTAAAATAGGATGGAAGAATTTTTTTCAAATAAATAAATTAATATTATGTTCTCAAAGCGGGGGCTTAAATTAGAAAAGAAGATTTTTTTCCCCAAGCAAAATATTTGAAAATATCTTTGAAAACAGAGTAGATGAAAACATCTATGGGAAATGCTGCCCCAGATAGGTTTCATAAATCAAAATAGCACTGTTTTTTATTCTGCCTAAAATCCAAACTGACTGCCTGACTTATTAACAATGTGCATCTTTCTTTCTATCACCCTATGACTCTAATGCAGCTTGTCTGTTTTTCTCTCCTATTTCTATCTTGCAATTCCTTACTCCTGGTGCTTTTCCCTGAAGCTAATTTCATATACAAATGTGTGATTTCTCTTCTTTCTCTATATTATCATCTCTTTTTTTATTTCCAAATTATTCAGCTCTCTTACTATTTAAATTATTGTTGTTAAACCATGTAGTTAACTAGACTTACTTAACTTTTAAATTGATTAATATATAGTTTGTTGCTATCATATGGCTAGAATTTCTTGAATGTTTGAGGAAGAATGTTTTTATGTATGATGAATGGAAATTGAACTTGACTGATAGATTGTTAGGTTGTCATGGATACAGATGTCTGAACAAGAGATGAGCTGCAGTTAAGTACTATCAAAGTCATTGTGATTATAAATTCATATCTATATTTAATACTATCCTTAGATATTATTTGTATTATCTCCTCATCCATTATGTGTTAGAGCTATGAATGTATAAGGAGACTCTTGTACATCTATCCTGACAATACTCATCCTAAAATCAAGTGATTCTGGTTAACTGAAGAGCAACAATGAGTGGAAAATTACATGAAAGTCAAGAAAGTGTCTTCAAGCAGTATAGACATCAGAAAACTAAAATTTAAACTCCCAATACTAGAGAACTGCTTAAGTCAAGGGTGGCTAGCCATGCTGTAAAAGCAGCTTAGGGTATTTTATTGTATTTTTCTAAACATTATGTTCTACAGCTGAAATCCTAATTCTTTCCAGACATGCAATATTGTGAATCTCATCTACTGTGGGATTTATGTGACTTAACTATTAAGTGATTTAACAGTTTTTCCCATCATCTCAAGTCTATGTAGATGGAGCTTTCTGTCCCACCTGGTCCTATAGCAGTTTAGTCCCAAATAAACACACAGAGGCTTATATTAATTATGAACTATTTGGCTGATGGATAGCTGAGGCTTCTTATTGGCCAGCTCTCTCTTAATTATTAACCCTTAATTATTAATCTGTATTCTCCACGTTGTCTTTACTTAACAATGATGTCTGGTCCTGTTGCTCCCTCAGCAGCTACATAGCTTCTCTCTTGACACTCTCTACATTTCTCTTCTCAGCATTCTCCTCTCTGGTAGCCCTGCCAGTACTTCCTGCCTGGCTATATCTTACCTGTCCAGTGGCCAAAATAGCTTTATTCATCAATCAATAAGAGAATCATATATCCACAGCATACAAAAGGACATCCCCCAGAAGTCTGTTGGTTATAGATACCACTATGGTATGTGTGGCAATCATAGGAATAACTTGAAATACAGAGTAAAACATGAATATGAAACACAATTGTACTCAGCTAACAAAGGATTTTACAGGGCTAGGGAGATGATATAATAGAGAATGGCGATTAGATTCCCAGAACCCAGATGAAAAGTCTAGCATGACAGATTCTAATTTGTAACCCTAATGTTGTTGAGTGGTAGAGACTTAAGGATCACTGGGACTTGGCCAACAAGAATAAGGCAGAGAGTGACAGATAAAGCCTTCAAGAATATACATTTGCCTATTTGTGGATGAAGAAACACATATACATATAGTATATTCATCCATAATACGAAAAAAAAAAAAAAAACAAAACAAAACTTAAAGTAAAAACTGCCTTCACATTGGTTAATGGGAAGCATAAGAAAGAAACACTCATTATTTCATGTATTATGCATGTCAAACAAGTATTTTCTTCAACTCCTTTAATGGTGGTGGAATAATTACTGTGAATTACCCACAGGGTATCTCAACTTGGCTGACAAAAGTTTTGAGTTCAAATTGAAACCAATTATCTTATTTAATAAGTACCACTAGCTTGCTTTTTGGTCCTATATTAATAAGCTCGGTGACTGACAACATACTAAAACATGTAACTAAACTAAAAACCATGGTGATGGGTGATGTTCTGCACTCCTCTGTATATATGTTTTGGGATTTTTGTTGTTGTTGTTGTTGCCATGTTTTTTGTTTTGTTTTTGTTTGGTTTGGTTTGGTTTTTTGTTTGTTTGTTTTGATTTTATTTTTTGTCGATGAATAAAACACTGATTGGCCAGTAGCCAAGTAGGAAGCATAGGTGGGGCTACCAGACAAGGAGAAACCTGGAGAGAGGAGATGGAGAGGAGCCACCAGAGAGATGCCATGTAGAGGCAGAAAAAATAATGTGCTGGGGCATTAGCAGGTAAGGCAAGAGCACAAGGAAATACTTAGTTAATAGAAAGGGGTTAATAGTTAAAAGAGAAGCAGGCAGTAAGAAGCCCTAGCTATTAGCTAAACAGATTATAAATTAATATAAGTCTTTGTGTGTTTATTTGTGGCTAATGGGCTACAAGACTAGGTGAAACAGACACTTTCATCTACACCATGGTGTTTTGCCTACATTAAAAAAATCATTGAGTTATTTTGTTTCCCTTTCCTTAAAGTCTTTTCAAATAATATCCATTTTATGGAGCACTCTTGTCATCCTACTCTGGGTCAATAAGTCAATTCTGTTTTACCATTAGCTCTCCATTTTCCACAATCTCTACCTTGGATTAGTCATCTTCAAGTGTAGCTTTTAATGCTACACTTTAAAAATGCAATCTCGACATTATAGGATTTATTTTAAACTTATTTTGTATTTTATTATTTTCTGTATGAACATTAACATCGTTTATATGTCATGTGAAAAAAAAATGTCTGGTGAAGTACATGCCAGCATCATCTATTATAGCATTGCTCAAGGTCAACTATCCTAGTTGATAAAATTATCTTCATTTAGCTTTCATGAGCATGAGAGTCAGTTCTTAATATTTTTGTTTCTACATATTCCTTCACTGACTAACAAGGCAATGAGCCAATATGTATGAGAGTGAAATTTTGGTTGAGAAATTCCCCTTTCAGGTTACTTCTTTCTCACATAAAAGAACATACCAATTCTATTTTCATGCAGCATGAAGTACATTATATTTTTATAAATAATTTCTTATGCTGCATATAGTGACTTGTTTATGTACCTAATAATTTAGAACACAATTTCTCTGTGACAGTAGAGTATATTGACAAATAGTGAAGACACCATAAATTCAATGATGAAGAATAAGACATGTATGAATAAAATTCTTAATT